TCTCTCTCTCTCTCTCTCTCATACACAATATAAATTTCCCATTCTATTCGTCTGTTTTTTCTATATCTTATCCCTCTCTCCCTTCCCCACCCTTTGTTCCCACCTTTCTTTTCTTCTCCCCTCAATCTGCCCATTATTTCTTTTTTTCTCTCTATCTCTCCTTTACTTGTCCCTCCACACACAGTACACAGAGGCAAAGATGGAGTGATGTACTCTGTAAGGTGACGTCATTTCACAACACTGCAGTGGTGATGAGGGAGAAAGTTAGTAGTACAGTATTTGGCCGACTGAGTGCTGTGACGACCCAACCGAACCTTTTTTTAACGCTGCCACAGTACTGGTTGCCTCTCTCTCTCTCTCTCTCTCTCTCTCTTTAACTGTTTGTATGTTTTTGTGATAATATTCTTCATTAAATATGACTCTTGTAGCGTAAGTTCCCGCCATACGATCATTTTTGTTAGTCTCTTCCTATTTTCTTCCTTATCCTTCCTCCTCGTGCTCCTTCTCGACTTCCTGATCTATCTCATATTTTTTCTTTTCTTTTCCTTTGTTCCTCAACATTTTTCCAGATATTTTATCTTTAAACATTCACTTCGTGGGTTAAACGATTTAATATGTCAGTCTGTGTTAAAAAAAAAAAGCTTTCAGGTTGTAAACTGAAAGCGGGTCAAGGTTAAATTGACTGAGTGATATTTGTTTAACCCAGTTGAGAAAGCTATGCGATCTGCAGCACAAAGTTAGGCCTTTTTTTCTAGTCCAAGGTTAAATTTTGCCTGGAGGTATTATATAGCCATTGAGGTAGTCATCACAGTGTTAAAGATAGCCAATGATTCGTTTGCAGTTGGAAGAGAATAATGCAACTAGGCCGAGAAACAGACAGGCTTGTTTTCAGGTACAAAATAAGGAGAGAGAAAGAGGATACAAAAGAAAAAGAGAGAGAGATACCTATAGCGATTAAGAAGAGAAGAGAGGTGAACAGGAAGAGAGTGAGAGAAAAGAAAAAAGAAAGAGAGATGCCACTAATAGTCCACGCACCTGTCCCAACTAGACCCCCTCCCACTCACACAGACTCGGTAATCCACCATCTTCAGCCCCTAGCACGTTCACCAGCCCTTCTACCTGTTTCCCACACTGTTCTTGATCTCCTGCTTGTCCTGTCGTTCCTTACTGAGAGTGAGTTCAGTGACGTCCTCCTCCTTTCGGGATTTTAGCTTTGGTCATGACTCTCAATACATGTTTTTACGTTTAATATTTGGACTTACATTCTACTCACGTCACCACGTATATACATCTACTATTTCGTTATGAACACATTTTTACTTTCAGTACTTTACCATACGTTCAATATTTTCCCTTTCGTCTATGCCTGTGAATCTGTGATGACTGACCTTGTCCAGGTGTGACCTCTCTCTGGTGACGTCATTAACCCCCCTCCAATGACCACCTGTAGGTTAAGGAAGATGACCTTCATGACCCCACGGCTGACCCTGGCTATAGCTCCCATCTGACTCACTCAAATTGTCTCCTCATCTTCCGAGCTTTCGTCTATCACTCAATATTTACATCCACTAACTTTTTATATGATCTGTGCACTACCTGTTTCGTGCAATTCACCTTACACCTGTCAAAAATCAATTTACGATTGACGTCAGCTGATTAATCCGTTACGAAATTACCGTAATTCCTACCAATGTATTCTGTTTACAGTTTACCGTTTGATCCTATCTAATCAATCTGCTAACATATTACTGTTTAATTATAGCTAATTGTGTTATATTTTCCGGATAACATTTTCACTGGACATAATTTCCCACCAGTCAGATAACTTTTCATCAAAATCATTATTATGCTGTTAGGATCGCTAAACTTACGTCTATATCAGGATAAGATTGATGAGGCTAAGTTAGGATAGGTTATTATGAAGGTAAAGTATACTAATTTAAGTTAGGATAATATTGGCTTATCATGAACTGGGTTAGGCTAAATTAAGACTGGTTAAGTTTAATTTAAAAAAACGTGTCAGCTAAAACGATTTCATCAATGTTAATCAGATTACAAGTAGTTAACATGGGATCCGAGAGACAATATAAACATCAATTAAAAATATTATGGAACTAATAGTATTATGAAAATGGTAAATATAGACGAAATAAACAGGGAAGTATATATATTAGGCAAGGTTAAAAAGAACGTGGGTATGGAGACGAGAAAAGTGATTGTGCACGTAGGATGAGTTGACAGTGTGATTGTGAATACCGTACTCACGATTTTGCAAGAATGAGTCATGTAGGCCATCAGGAAATGTCTACTCGGTGTCAATTTTGTGAGTTGTAATTTTTTTTTTGTTCATATATTGTTAAACTGCAAGTGCGTAGTTAGGGTGGTGGGATAGATACGGTCGTTAGGGCGTGTGGTGATGGGATAGATAAGGTGGTTAGGGCGTGTGGTGATGGGATAGATACGGTCGTTAGGGCGTGTGGTGATGGGATAGATACGGTCGTTAGGGCGTGTAGTGATGGGATAGATAAGGTGGTTAGGGCGTGTGGTGATGGGATAGATACGGTCGTTAGGGCGTGTGGTGATGGGATAGATACGGTCGTTAGGGCGTGTGGTGATGGGATAGACACAGTCGTTAGGGCGTGTGGTGATGGCGTGGCGAAAGTCCAGCTGCAAGATTCGGCCCCTTAAAGTGGTAACAGACAACTTGGGGCTTTTGTGGGCTGGGACCTTTTAGTCTCCAGCCATTACACGATTTATGACTCCTGGTTAATGTTCTTTTGTTTCTCTAGAGTCCATATTATTTGTGGTTCATTGTCTTTATATTTCCTTTCAGCCTGCGTTATTATGCCTCTTGGGTAGTTCTTATATTGTTGAAACTTTTTTTTTTATTATGATGTTCCATTTGTCACGTGCTGTTCCTTAATATTTGAGGTACATAGTTTTTATTTCTATTATTTTTTACTACGCTACTTCCATTTTTTTTTGTCTTAATTTATATTCTGATGATTTTTTGTTTTTTGCTTCTCAGGTTTTCCATCTTCACCTCGATAGTCGGACCTATATCTCTCTATATAACTCTAGAATTTAACATGACAGTACCTGAACCAAAGACTATAACCTTGTTCGCGTAGTTTGCTTTCTAAATACATCACGAGCTTCAATATTCCCCTTGTTTCTAATCTAAAACGTCTTTGTTACTCGTTGAGCTCTTTTGTTAATATTCTGACTCTCCTTTCTCTTTTATTTTCTACTTTTATTTTAGGCCGATACAATAAGCCTATATATATATATACTTTATATGGTTCTCAGACTCCAGTGGCTATCGGGGGTTTATGCCTCAGACCCGTAAAGAGCCATAAGTAAGCAAATCTTGAAAAATTAATATCTCGGTCATCCTTAATTTCCGGTGGAAATATCACAGAACGGTCCGACTAATTACCCAAATGTACCCAAATGTAGCAAAATGTAGCCGCAATGAAGTCAAATAATGGTCCTACATGAATAAATTGGACTGCTAATCACTTCTCGACTAGTATTTGGTGTCACAAAGTCACAAAAAATTGGTAAACTTAATTTAATCTGAGTTGTGTTGTGTTAGGTTAGGTTAGGTTAGGTACGGTACATGCACTTGATCTATTAACTCTGATTAAATTAAGTTTACCAATTTTTTGTGACTTCGTGACACCAAATACCAGTCGAGAAGTGATTGGCAGTCCCATTTATTCATGTAGGACCATTATTTGACTTCATTGCGGCTACATTTGGGTACATTTGGGTAATTAGTCAGACCCATCACAGAAGGAAAATGTATTAGAATTGTGTAAACATTACGAGATACATATTTTTAATGAAGAAATAAAGACCTGTGTGATACAATAAATTCACCTTTAAAATTGTCTACCTACTGATTGCAATAGTTAAATTCGTAAGATTCCCCGGATGACCAACACTAAAATAATAATTGGGTATTGGCAATTGTCTAGGTATGTAACACGGTAAACTTAAATACAAATGGAAGCCAAAGACCGATGTAAATTGAATGAAAACCCGAAGTTTAACAAACTGGTCTAAATGGTTGTGGCAGAAAGTTTTTGTTTTGTAATTATGGAGCTGTGAAATTACGATTTTCCTTTTTGTGGGACTAGGCTACCAATGTGCCCCAGTAAATTAAACAATCACCGAACAGTGTCAAACCTTAACAAGGATGGACCAAAATTTACCCATGCTCAGTGGTTCAATTTTTATAAACATTTTAAGGTAAAAATTTTGGCTTAAATTGACGACTAACCTGCCGACGCTTAATTTGTTTTGATTTTTATATTCTTACTATATTTTCATCAGTGAGTTCTGATGTGATAATCATTTTTGGGGAAATTGCTTCCTTGGTAGCTAATTAGGTGACTAGGCCTCCACTACCTTGTCATTCTCGATGCCAGTGTATGTTTATGAGCCATACTGTCTGGCCGGCTGCCCTCACGTCCACAAAAAAACATAAAATTACACCATATCATAGTACCGTATATTCTTTCTGTTTATTATGCTGGGGTTCAGCTAGGAAGTTAGGTAAAAGTTTAGTAGGTTTCTTTGGTTAGGTTGGTGAGGTTTTCTAACAATGCTTCTGCTGCTTGTTTTTCTTATCAACTAAGGTTAGGTTTGGTTTAATTTAGAAATAACCACAATTTAACACATTTGCCAAAACTACAACAGTATCTACTATAAAACCATGAAATTGCAGCATTTTTAAGATTCTTTTTCTATGAAAAATTGGCAGCGGGTCACTCAATAATAAATATAAAATTCTTTTTTTATCCCAATTTCCCAGAAATGAGCCATTTTAAAAAATGTAATTATTTTATGACTCGAAAAATACCCAAAAAATACTCTAAATATGTCTGTAATTTGGTGCATTTTCTTTTTTATGTCTTTCTTGATGTGTCTTTGAAATTATAGGTCTACAGATTCCCACTTCATGACTAACCATAAATATGTCCTCATTGTAGAGGCTGAAGGAGGAGCTGACAGTTGAACGTTTCCACCCAGTGGTAACTCCTGAGGGGCCAGAGCTGATCTTGGCCTTTGATGAGCATGTCCTCAAGAACCACTTCAAGTTTGGCCTCATCTACCAGCGCTTCAGCCAGACCATGGAGGAGCAACTCTTCAGCAACAGGGATCAGACGCCTGCCCTCAAGGAGTTTCTTAACCTTATGGGTCAAAGGGTCAAGCTTAGAGACCATGAAGGGTAAGTTTCTAAGCCTCAACAGTAAACCTTATGCGACATGTCCACTTTCAAAGACCAAAAGAGTATCTTTCTTAATCTCATGGGTCAGAAGGTCATGTCAGACAGATGAACATCAAGGATGTGTTTCTAATGATAATTCCATTTTTTTAATCACCAACTTGTTCACAGGTTAAGAAATAAATTATCGGAAAGATTTTGAAATATTCTTATACTGTACAGTATCAGTTTTCTTCATTGTTGTAAACATTTTTGGTTTTGTAAATTGTTAAAATACAATATTATGGCGGCTAGATTAAAAAACAATAAGGTTATACATGACTTGTATATGCATTCCCCTCTGTGCTGAATAAAATCATCTGGCATTAGCTAAATAAAATATTAAAAGTGTAATCCCTGCTTTTGCCCTGTAGCCACAAGTTAATCATAAAACTTCAATGGTTCTCACATACAAAGGAAAAACATTCAACACTTGTCTTATCTGGGCTGTATTTGCACTTAACTTCAGTTTTGTGTGGTTGGACTCTTTAAGTACTATACAGTACATTTTGAATCTCTGAGATGCCAGTCAGTCAAGTCTTCACAACAATGCTCTATACTGCACAACAAACCTACTGTTTGATCACAAGAAATCCCCCACAGTTTACAAACAACAAGAAAAAATACATAACACATAGTTTAGATAATATTGGTACAGTATACTGTACAGTATATGATAAATTTAGTAACAATTACAGAATATTCCTTTACAGCCAGTAACTTTTAAATTGTTTTACAGATTTAAGGGTGGGCTCGACACCCAGTTTGGTCAGACAGGGGAGGAGAGCATGTATGAGAGATTCCGAGAAAAGGAGATCATGTTCCACGTCTCAACTCTACTGCCCTACAAAGATAATGATCCACAGCAGCTGGAGCGTAAGCGACACATTGGCAATGACATGGTTGCAATTGTGTTCCAGGAATCCAACACCCCCTTTGCTCCTGATATGATTGCCTCTCACTTCCTTCATGCCTACATTGTCGTCCAGCCCATTGACTCCTGCTCACCCAACACAAGGTTAGTAATAAATTTCGGCCATCTATCTGTTTATACTTATTTATACACTAGAGTATATCTCTTAATATACTTACCTACATACTGTGCATCTGTCTATCCATCCATTTGTCTAGTTTTTTTCTGTACAGTATTTATTCACATCCCTGTCTACCGTATATATTTATAACTGTACAGGCCAGATTAATATGTACAGGCCAGATTAATGGGGTGGTGGATGGGGCAGCCACCCAGGGCACAAGCTTGGAGGGGGCCCATACCTTACAAGTACAAGTACAGCAACATATTATTTCTGTATTGTTTACTTAGTAGAGCATCAGATATTCAAGTTAATAAATTGGAATTTTTGTACATTGTATGGTTAAGTGAATCAAATCGACCACTAGACAGCAGGGGTGCTGACATCTGGCTGTGACCCTCAATAAAGGATCATAAGCATAAATGAACATACACATTGCATGTGGGGCTGCCCGACTAGCAGATCCTATTACACAGGGATCAACTGCAATATTAATGTAGTGAAATAACTTTGGTGTTAATATGTGATATAAAGATGTGATACTGTACATGTATCCCCTGACTTATGATCTTCCTATTCTTGAGATTCCTCTTTAACGATGGTGATGTATTAAGACACAGATGTATCTTTTGGGTTGGTACAGTACTTCTGACTACATAGGCCTAATATCCTTTATCGTGCACTGTTCTGTGATGAAACTATTAAAATAATAATAAGTCTAATATTTGTGTTAGAATCAGTGGTCAAGTACAGTACATAGTCTGTAGTACTGTGCTTCAATGATGAATAATTAGGGATGTATTTGTGGCATCCATTAGGAAGGGATTTTTTGAGATTGGAATAGAAGAATTGCCATTTCTCAAATAGTTACGTCAATTTAATTCAAAGCCAGTTCCTTGTGGAAATCCATGCGTATTCTCTTCTAGTTAGAAAATCTTGGAGCATGAATGATAGTCTTGGTTCATAGCATTTGATATGGATTTGACTTTTTAATTACGCAATCGAAACCGGAGTGTTGCATACAGTTAATGCTGTGGCAGTTCATTCTCCAACAATCGTCCAGACAAAATGGAAGGCAGACACAGAAACGAAACGCCCCAAGGAAAGCCATTAAATGACTCGTATTGTTTCTCTAACATAAGGAAGTACTCTACTATACTGTAACTGGTAAGGAGAGCAGGCATATCAACATATTATCACACTCAGGGTACAAGTATTTATCAAAACACTTCATCCTGTGTTCCAGAATATAATGTACTGTACAGGAAGGGTTGTGATACTGAGTGTCAAACTGTACAGGTACTATACTTTCTCAAACAACTCTTAAATGCAGAAAATAAATACAGTACCTATTATACTTTGAGGAGCTGTAGTATAAGTGCAAGAAATTTGTTGATTTTTGTCATTAGAATTTATGTCTCATTAAGAATACAGTTCTTAACTCTGAAAAATTATAAAAGTAACATAGTTTTGATTTAACATTGATTTCTTTTAGCTTTATGTAATAGATTCATGACAGTAGCCCATGGTCAGTCCAAGGTGTATGGATGGTGTTGCTTGATGGCAGTGTCATTTTTGTGCCTGTGCATTTTTTTTGTGCAGTCTCTTAATAAATAGTGATTGTTAGTCATCTGCAATAAGTATTTGATTTAATATGCAAGATAACTAAATTAAAAGCATTTTTTTTATGGTGCGGTACTTATCCAGTTAAATCTACCATGGCTTATGTATTGACTTAAGACATTGGTAATCACTGTTTGCTTTCCTCCGTCAGGTACCGTGTGAGCGTGACAGCGAGGTCTGATGTCCCATTTTTTGGACCCACCCTCCCTCCCACGGCAATCTTTGAAAAGGGTCCACAGTTCAAAGAGTTCCTCCTTACCAAGCTTATCAATGCTGAGATTGCCTGTTATAAGGCTGAGCGATTCGCTAAGTTAGAGGTAAGATAAGGCTGCAATTATCCTCTCTTTCTTAACTGATAGTACCCGTAATAAAATATTGGTGTGTCGTGACATGTTGTGTGCTAAAATTTAAGTCATGATTTAAATTGTGTGAAGACTACTTTTACATCTACTGTTAACAGAGTACAGTAAAAGGATTGAGAAATACATAGTGAATTTTAGAGGAGTTTCAGAATGGCTGGGAGGTTTAGAGAACTTATAGGCGAGGAGGATGACAAATTGGAGGTAATGTAGTGAGTGTGATGGCCAGAGAGAGACAGTAACCTACACTATGAGAGGGAAAGGTGGGAATAGAACAGAGGATGTGCTTGTGTGTGGTAAAAGATAAATTTTTTAGATAACAAAGCAATACTGTTGATAATAAAAATTTTCCTCTCGCAGAACCGTACACGATCTTCACTACTGGCCGCTCTCGTGGATGACTTGAAGACTAAATCCAATGAATTCCTGGGAGTATCAAAAATCCCAGAGACACCAAAGGTGGAGACAACTGGTAACAAGTTCAGGGAGATTGTCAGGAGCGTCCTAATTGGTCGGAAAAACCCAGAAGCCGCAGGGTTGTTAAAGAAGCCTGTCACCAACAACACCAACACATTAACCGCTGGCACTCCAGTGGTAAGTGGATTTTTGTTACCAGTTGCCAATGATTTTACAAATACAGGGTGTTGGACCTAATTTTCTTTAATGCCAAATCATTTTGGCAGAAGAGTTGCTGATAATTAAGTACCCGGTAATATATTATTGATAATCAGAATTTTAGGAAAATTCCAATCTCTCACCATGCACCAAAATCTGACCCTATGCCATGATAACAAAACACTAATTTTTTTAATATTGACAGAGTGCACGGAGCAAAGGCAGCGGGGGGAGCAGTGGTGCTCGTACTCCAACTTCCAGCCCAGATACAACGCCTAACACACATATGGCGCTGTCAGAAAGTGATGACTCCTCACTAAACTCAATGGATATTGATGGTCATCCACATCCACTTAATGAAGATTCAGACACAGGCCTAGAGTCCATGTCCTCAGCAGAGACCCCACACAAACTCACATTACAGTGCCCACTTTGTGGTGGTAATGAGGATGGGGTGTGTGCCCCCCATGCTGACCCCGAGACTGTCATGCGTCAGGTTGATACACTCAAACACGAGATCAACAAGCTTAAGTGTGATAAACTAGATCTTCTTCGCCAGAATGTGGTAAGTTCAATGTAGAACTTTTTAAGCTCCTCTATCCTAGTACAGCTCTAAACAGTGTCCCATACCCATCCTCCCTCCAGTGATGGATCCAGCTATAGCAAAAAGGGGGGCGGTGGATCCATAAAGAGGGTGCCAAATATATACTATAATTCATTTATTTTTCTTTAGGGAGGGGCCATATATGACCTAAAAACTGCAAAGTTAAATTTGTCATATAAAAATTAATTAGTACTTACAGTATACAGTATATGAAAAATGTATGTACTGTACAATAGTGTGCAACCAACTACTGTTACAATATATGTGACTAAATAAGAAAATAAATGCATATATTGGTGTGCCTCAGAAATGGTTCATAATTGTTCAAATCAATATACAGTATATCCCTTTCAAAGGTAAATTTGTCCACATCATCATCAGTTTAATTTCTAAGTCCTTATGTACACTCTGTAAATAAACTACCGTACAGGTGGGGTCCGATGATTTTCCAACTGAACATTCCCGTTGTCTCGCGAGGGTTGGTAGGCTTGAATGTGAGACATTTCGTACTTAATTTGGTAGGCCGAAATTACCTATTTCATTGACAGTATTGAAATTATTACAATATGACTGGAGAATGTCAGTATATCTAGATAAGTTAAATTGTATGTTATATTAAATAATCGACACACCCTGGACTATAGTAACCATGGAAGTGGATGAGTTGCCATATAGGAATGCATTATATGTTTGGCAGAATTAGTGGATATAGTAAAGGTATAAGATTATTTTGCAACCGAATTTTGAATCTGTATTTGTATTGCTACTTCATTTTGGGCTAATGCCACATTATGTCATTCTTTATTCATATTGGAAACTATACCATACTTTTCCGAAACATCTGAATAGCTCCACAGTTTTGCATGCCACCATAATGGAACCCGGCCCAACAACATTTTATTGTACCATACAGATGGTAATTCCGGAAAGTCTAGTACTGGGTTTCGTTTCAGAGTGCCGATCACTTGTTTCGAGCACGTGTGGCCAAACCCCTACTCGGGCAGGGCTACCAATGCGAGGAATGCCTTGAGGGCCTTTTTGAAACACTTCGTTTGTAGTGTCAGTTTGTTTCGCGCAGGAATTGTAACTGTAGTTGTTTTACTGAGTGTACATAGTATATGAGATCCAGATTAGAAAGTTGGTCAGCAAACATGGTTGACCTTAAGTAAATTTAAAGTTTTTTCAGAGTAAATAATGATCGTTCTCCTGATGCAGTCGTGATAGGAATTGTGGAACTGATTCGGAGAAGAGTATGTACATTAGGGAACAGTTGCTATCACGCTTATCCAAAGCAGTAAGAATAGATTTTGGCCAAGTTCGTGAGCTTTTTAATTTTTGCTGCCATATCTTATATTCAGTGTTTACATGATCCTTATCAATATACTTGCCATATATATCAAGAAGAGGTTGTAGTGCAGTAGCTGGATGTGACACAAACATCTTTGGAATCTGGATACTTACAGTACTTTGAGTACGACAGAATTATGTTGTTCAGACTTTCTCGTCCTCTCACCTGGAATATGATCCAGAAATGGGATGTAAACAGCCCTTCAAAAATACTTCTCATCACTAGAAGAAGGGATATTTTCTCTGTGTAGTTGTCTGTTCACTACACAAGGCTTGCTGAGCTCTACACTAACATTATCTGCCATGACCTTAGCTTCTTGCCAAGTTTTTATTACATACAATTACGATTTCTTTTCAGACATGTCAGAGAGAGATAAAAAAGCTGAAGGAGAAAGAACTCAAGTTGGGTAGTGAACTCAACTCAGCCAGCAAGGAGATCATACGACTGCAAACGCTGCTCAAAGATCTTGGCACTGGACAAGTCTCAGCCGTGTGAAGGAACCAAAGGTCATCATGTTGTCTGCTTTCATGTCACACAGTTGGTAGAGTGACGTGAACATCTTACTGTCACTGACCTTTAAGCCAGAGTGAATTTTGGCATCCAGGTTAATGAGAACGATTGCTGCTGGTCTACGGTGCATAACTACCCTCGGGTAATGATGTGTTTTGGGAGTCACAGAAGAGAAGAAGAGAGAACAATAGCCCATACCTCGGATCTGTTAATCGATCAAAATTCATCTGGAGGATTCACACTTTTAGTTTCAGTTTTTGCTGAGGTGCTTCCCTGTATGTCCACACAGTTTTGCAGGTCATAAGAAGTTAGTTACAAAGTATTTGAGTGAGTCTGGACAGTGTGTGTGTGAGGTTTGTACAACCACTCAAGTCACTTTAGGAGTGAAGTGGAATGATACCAAAGTTTTGTATTTTGTGGTACAACTTCAGATAGTGTGGGAGTTACCAAAGGAAGAATGTAGGACCTGCTGGATTTAGGCATATAGCTGGGAATGTGCATTGTGGTCAACAAAAGACAAATATTTATGCATTTATTATAGTTTAAATCAACTTTTAGGTGAATTATTGAAATGTATTTCACCTTTCATGTGCTTGTTTAGATGGACACACTACACACCTCAGCTTTTTATACCAAATACATAATTTTAAGTTTTCTGGGGCGAGCAGTTTGCATCCCCTTCAATTTTAGTCATTCCCAAATTTTATATTGATCATATTTTTTCCTGACTCATACTACATGATTGTCCATGAATTTATAATGTATATGGCAAGGAGGACTTGATTCAGAATAGATTTGTTCAGATCCTTTCTTTTTGGTATTGAACTCCCCTTGCCAAGATTTAACTGCACAGTGATGGCGTGTTGCCCCGTGTAGGGCGTGGACGACGTTGGCATGGCAACCCAGGATAACCTCCACCCCTCGCCCTTTATTACAGGATTCTTATCATAGGATCCATAGCTCAATATTGATAACTTATGCCCCTTTATATAGTAGTGAATGGTCAACTCTGAAGTAGCAGACTGACTCTTAAATTGTAGATCATTTAGTAGTACATGTCAACACACTTTATCATGTTCATCATTGTACACTAAAAAAAATCTCTAATAGATATATTTTCAAAATTATTAATTTTTTCAACATAAGAAATAAGAATATTTGACTTCAATAAGTGAAGCTGATTGGATATCCAGTCATCCATTACATAGGGTTAGAGAGAAGTTAGATGTGTTTTAATCTCAAATTTTCAAGAAGACAATATACCTAAACTAATCAAAGTAGTATTGTACATTATGATTCAAGGAGTAATTCCCACCCACTGTATCCCATTTGAATTTAGTTTAAGCCCTACTTTTTGTAGTTCGATTGTGACTATTTCACGCTTATAAAAAAGTTGCATTTATTGTGATGGGCAGGTAGTTATGTTGTAATTGCACATACCATACCATCTTCCCAGCATGTGTGTTCGTTATGTAACCGGTGAGATAGGGGAGTTGTGGCTGTCAGTAGTGAAACCTTTATTCGCAGGGTTATCATGGCATTATCATGCAAATGGCGTCCACGGCACCTTGACCATCATATCATTGATTATACTATTTGTACTCGTCATGTGTCAACCCTGTAGGCTCTGTTATTCCAAGTTTGAATTATGTGTTATTAGTTTTCAAACATATGTATGAATTATGGTGTTTCTCTGTAGGAGCCACTAAGGACTTGACATGTGATAAACTGTGGGGAGTTGTGCTGTGACACTGCTGGCTCACGTTACTCTCTGGAGCTTTACATAACTTCTGTCACAGTCATGTGATGAATCAGCTGTTGGGAAAACATCAGCTGTTAATAATAGTATTATAAAGTGCTATAAACTTTCTTGTATATTTATCTATCTGTCAGAATCATTTACCTCTCACCAAATCAGCAGGATGGCATAGAAAAAGTCTCCTTGCATCCTTATCTTAGCCTAATATCACATGCTCTTCTATACCTATGTCCCTGTTGCCTACACACCCTCTCACATCATCCATCCATTGCTCTTGTTCCACTTTCCCAGCTCCTTTTCACCTCCCATTTTTTCTCTCTTCAAGTTGTAAACGTTTTAAGTTTTAGAGATTTTACAAATTTATATTTAAGTCCCCTTTCTTGATGGAAGGCTGAATGGTGCATTGACATGTGACCAGCAGTTATATAACGGTAGTGAGCAGTGTTATGGCCAGCTCCTCCACCTGTTGCGTTCCAATATAGGTGTGTTACTGTGTGTGATAATACGTGGCGTCCAATCTGCCCGTTGACATCCCTGATTACATGTCATTATATTCTCTGTCAGCTGTAACAGTGTGTAGCTGTACTACTGCACACCTTTGATGTTTATGGCCACATTCACAACACAGAGCCAAAAAAAATTACCAGCACACCAAACTACCAAGGAGGAAAAAAGTACATAAATATCCTCTCCTTGGAAGGGAGAGGAGTTTGTGTGTATGAGAGTCAAGTTAAGACTGAAGCTGGCTAGAAGATAATGGCGACTTTCCAGAGAGCTGAAGAAAAATGAGCTCTGATGGGTGAAGGGGTTATGCTTATTCCACACCAAGGTTGGGGGATAGCATTGTTCTGATGCTCTTTCCTTAGGAATTCACTCCAGGTGGGTTATGGTGTGCGCATGTTAATCATGAGGCAATGTTTGTTGTGAAGGTAGCTTTTAGTGTAGGTAAATTTCAGAGGCATAGCCAAGCTAAACAATAAGTCAGGATCCGTCAAAATGCTGACTGCATTATCACCCCCTCCAACTGTCAGGTTATATACACTATATATACACAACTGAACCGCCTATAATTGGAGAAGATATGTACAAAAGAATTTTATTTTGCTATTGTAGGTAGTCTTTCACTGACACACCCAGAAGGCAAAGTGTAAATACTTGTATTAGGAAGATATAATAGATCACATTATATTACAGACATCAAATGTCAGGTTAATAATTTTTGCAATACAGTACTGTACTCATGATCCCTGAAGCAAGTCTGTTGTGTTTATTACGTCGAGCTTGAAGCCTCGTCCAACCAATATACTGTAGATACAGTAAAAAATGGCACAAAATTCTCTAATTTGAAGGAAAAAAGTAATTGAAGAGAATGTATCCTAAATTTGTTTATTCTTTGTACTGTACAGTATAAATTTAATTTAATTTATAATTTAGCCACTTTTCAGTTTACTGGCCATTCTGGTGGTTGGTCTGTTTATTGTTAATTTGTTACAACCTTCATTGTTCAGTGTTAGTACTGTATAAAAGGAAACCAGAGAACCTGGAGAAAACCTGCTTGGTAGGGTCACACTGGATAATGGACGGGGAATTGAACCCAGGACACAGTGAAGAGAGGTATGTGCACTACTGCTATTGCCACCATGAAACTACATCTTAAAATCTAGAGTTTGATATTTAATTCTCCCAAATCCACCATCAATTAATATATTACAATATCCTAATTGATACCATATACTGTACCCTAATTTTGTAGTAACAGGTTGTCACAACACCAAACTTTTGAGGTCCACATTGTTGTGGTGTTCATTTACAAATCAAGTATTGTACTGTACAGTATAGGGTGTGAGTTTTGGAAAGTACAGGTATTTCTCTTATTAGTCACAGTTCCATCAGTCATTTATAATTTTATTGTATAAACAAAGACCACTAAAATGAATTGCATTTCTGGAAAACTGGAATTCAGTACAGTAATGCTTTTAAATTTTTCAGTGGTTTGTTTTTTAACATGACTTTTTTTAAACAAAAGAGTGTGTGAGTAAACTGTAAGAAAGTTAAGCAAAATAAAAATACTTCTATGAAGCTCATACTTATGACTCTTGACAATAACATTTAACAGACTTGGCTGTATTGCAAAAGTGATTTAAGTATTGCCTTTTGGGTTCTGGAACCCAGATAACACTGGCTATAGCTCACCCAGAGTGTGTATATTATGTATCTACTGTTTGACGTAAATTATACTATATTGTGTGTATAGTGAGTCATATTAAAGTCTCCACAGATTATTTGTAGTTTGTCTCTTCTCCCCCACAAAAAAAAATCCATTCCTTTCAATACTGTTTTTGCATGATTTATGTAGTTAAATAACAAAGTTATCTAGATTATATTACATAATACTGTATTTGTCAGGTAGTAGATAGTAGGCAGCTATCAAACAGGGAGGTACTACCACCTGGGAAGATATTGGAAACATAATGTGTTGTCTAATGGTAGACCCTGCTGCCATATGGCATCACAAAAATTGTGACCAAGTCCCAGGTTGCTGATCTGACTTTCTGCCTCATTTACACACAATTGCAGGGTCTCAATTGTTTCTCTTACTTTGACAGCACAACATACACTGTATCATTTCTCACTCTTAACTCTCCCCAGGCCCCAATGTGGGTTGGTGACCTGTGCCCGGGTGGGCTAATCTCCATTAAAACAAAATAATTTTATGGCATAAAATGGTAGAAAATGGAACTTGCAAAGTTCACTTTGATAAGGTAACACAGCCAAGGATGGGTGTGGGACTGGGACTAAATCCACCCCAACCCCATATTCTTTGGATATGTTAAAGAATAGGCACACCAGCTTAACCCATCTAAAATTTAAGCATCTGATGCTATTTAAGGTGCCCAATTTTCATGTGATCCTGAAAGGACACATGGAACTTAAAAAAAAAAATCACATAGTCTTATGGAAACAATTTGTTCTTATATTTAAGTACATTTCGTCCAGCTCACTTGCTCAATGCTCATGGCAGCTTAGACTACCGTATTCATTTCTCATTTAAGAAGTCCACATTAAGCCAAATAATAAATGGCTAGGAATCCTTACAGAACAAAAGTAATGCATGCAATGGTCTACTGCAGGTGAAATTTGGCAGATTTTTGAGAGTACAGTGGTATCATTTTCTGACATTATTAATTAAATTCCCCAAATTATTTAAATGTCCTTCCTTGCTAAGTGACTGCTAGATGCAAAGTCAAAACATGTCATAAATGTTACTACCAATAATGGAGATAACAAAATCTTAATTATTTTTGTAATAACAAACGGATTGTGCGCTTGGTAGTGGTGCCGTGTACTTTGCCTGTTGTTGGGCTATGCCACTACTATCCATCCCGTGATCTGCCAGAAATTGCTTTGCAATCTACTCGTAGATCGCGATCGACATTTTGGCCACCCCTGATCATAATTGCAAGTAGTGTGTGTGTAGAGATTAATGGAACAGAATCGTCATGTGTACCCATGACAAGTGGGGGTACCACAGGGCAGTGTACAATACTGGGCTTGTTGTTTGTTTGTTTCATAAATGACATGCCGGAAGTTATACACTCCTCCATACAAATGTTTGCGGATGGTGCCAAGTTATTCAGCACATTCAGTGAAATAAAGAACCAAACACACTGTGAATAGCTACAGAAATATCTCTGTAAGCTTCAAGAATGGTCAATGAAATGGCTGCAGAGATTCAATGTCACGAAGTGTAAGAGCTGCACCTGGGTTGTACCAACAGTAAGGAGGCGTATCACATGCCCCAACTGGACGAAGAAACTACTAAAATAGAGGACAAATGGGAAAAAGACCTGGGTGTGTATGTTGACAATGAACTTAAGTTCTTGGGCTATTGTGAGAAGAAGGTGAATCAAGCAACTATACCCTTTCCAAACTAAACCTGGCCTGTGAGCCACGCACCTCGTCTGTAGCTACAAATAGCTGATTGGTTCCCCTGAGCGTTTTACCTCCTCCCGGACTGTATGCATATAAGCATGTATTTATATCGACCTTTTATGATAAATATTAACAATTTTCTAACATCCTCTCTGAAGTGTTAATGCCTTGAAATCTTTGCATTTTGTTAGTCCAGATGTTTAACATTATTTTAGATAATAACAGGTCTGCTTACCAACTGGTAAACACATTTGTGTTTGAATTTTCTATAAACTAATCAGCTATTAGTATAGAAGAGGGGCGTGGCTTACAGACCAGGTTAGCGGGGAAAGGGTATAAACTATTAGGTCTTAGAAGGATGTTCAGATATCTAGAAGGGCCGTTCCTCGTAACTATCTTCAAGAGTAAGGTGCTTCCCTGTCTGGAGTACTGTCACTCTGTCTGGTCCTCGAGATATGCAAAAGACTGTCAGTTGATTGAAAACGTCCAAAGGAGCGCCACCAGACTGGTGCTTGCACTAAGGCACCTCAGTTATCCGGAGAGATTTGAGAAACTGCAACTGCCTAGCTTATACTACCAAGGGGTGACCTAATTTTGAAGTGTGTAAACATCTCAGAGGACACTACTCAGTCGAGTGTCCATACTTGGAGCTGGCAGTCGCCTGCCCCACAAGGGGTCACGGGTTGAAAAAGCTTTAAGTCCAGAAAATTGTGAGGGTAAACTTTTTCGGGGTGAGAATTGTGTCCTCTTGGAACAATCTGCCAGAGAATGTTGTGATGGCACCGAGTCTGAGCTCTTTCAATACCATGCTTGACCAACACTGGAGCAGGTTCAGATACATTCAGGAACCAGTGCATGCCCAGTACTTGCCAACAGTGTGTAACAGAGACGTGACTGACCGCTCAAGCGGCTAACGAGTCGATCAGTGGTGAAGAGGATAAAAATAAGTAAAAGTAACAAATGTCTGGCTGGGTTCCTTAATGCATTTCTAAATCTATTATACAATTCATTGGCCTTTTTAACAGTGGAACGGCATTTATCCTTGAAAGAAACTACAGATTCTCAGAAGCTTTATTTGACATCATGACAAGTATCGGTAGCAGAAAAAGAAATGCTTCAATTTCACGCACATACAGTAATCTACAAAAAAAATTCACCCTTTAAGTAAACCAAGCTTTAAGTAAGCCAAGCAGTATAATATAAGTACCACCAACATATAATCTATGCTAACGTACAGTGTTAATGAAAATAGTTAAAATACTCCAATGTTTGCATTTGTGCAATAGTTACAGTATATAATTTGCTTTAGTTCCCCCAAGAACGATGTTACATTCTCTTGTTTAAATCGTGAATTCCTTGTTTTTCAATTAATGGGTACCAAAAAATAATGTTATTTCATAGACTATTACATGCTAATATCAATTTATTTACACGGTAATAGATGATTATTCAAAAGGCGATTTATATTTTCAACGTAAAATATATGATATACGGAGGTGAGCGCCATCTATGAGTTAACAGCTCTACTAAACCATCATCACTGGGTACAGGGGAGAGTTTCTTGTCTGACTACCATTCTGGCATTAAGACGTCAACAACAGCAGAGAAGCAGACGGATCCATGATGGCTGTTGGAGAATCTGTGCGAAAACCGGACCCTTAAATACCCGCCTGATACGTCGGTGAGACATTTATTAATAATAGTATTCACATATATAACAATAGATTAGTACTTGTTAAATTATTACCTAACCATATTTCTGTTGTGAATGGAAACTACTAACTAAAATTGGTAAATTTAGGATAGTAGCCAGGTTTCAGTAGGGTCAAGAACCATAGGAAACATTTTGGTATTATTTTAGTTTCGTACAACCATGGAATATGGTATTTTGCTAATTATTTATGATTAACCTTGCCTGCCCACATATTTTGGCTATATCCATGAAGATTTCCCTATCTTCTTCTCTTCTACCATTCTTTACCCAATCTTTATGTGCTGCCTTTAACATTTGTGTCCATCCCTTCAACATTTTGTCATTGGTATAGCAGTGTTTCCTAGCCCCATGTCTCTTATCATTTATCTTTTTCTGTGTTGACTTAGTTAAATATCTTTATCTCCCCAACTAAGTCATTATAAAAGCTATCCATACAGACTGGTGTATACTTTCTGTACCATTTCTCTATATTTTGGGTAAACACTTCTGTTTCATCCTTGTTTAGTTTCAATCTCTTCCTCCTTTATCTCACTTGTCTCTTCCCTAATGGTAATTGAACATACACAACAAAATGGTCACTGACTAGCTCCCTTTTTATCTCACATTCTCCCTGGACTCCCTGACTGCTTATCATGCAAGCATAGTCTAACCTTCCTCCTTTAATATGAGTCACTTCCTTATTTCCTAACAAGTAAGCATCTGGGTGATCTTGTAAAAATTGCCAAAATTATATACCATTACTATTAATTCTCCCCATTGTTTCGAGTCTTGGATGTCGAGCATTAAAATCGCCTACCGCCAAAGTCGAGTCCAAAAACATGCAATCTGGTAAGAAGTCGAGGTCAAAACAGCCTCCAGAAATATACAAATTTGCTATGTTCAATCTCCTTCCTTCAAATATAACTTTATACAGACACTTTCTATTCCTTGTATACTCTACTCGGGCTTCCAACTAGTTCTGCTGGTATGGAATTCTTAATGTATGTTGAGACCCCTCTTATACCTTCACCCGAATAGAGATGAAATCCCTTATATCCAGACAGTTTAAGCAGGTTGCCTTTCCTGTCCCCAGTCTCTTGAAGGGTAATTATGTCAATATTATTTTTAAGGGTAAAGTAATGTACATCTGTCACTCTATTTTGTAGACCATTAACATTCCAGGACATTATCTTAAGGCTAGCTAGATCCATGATTAATATTTACACATTTTATATCCTTTCCAATCAGATTCTTTAAGAAGGCCCAATCCTCCTGCACAGATTCCCATTTCCTCAAAAGCTTTTCTTTATCAGCATCTTTACACTTTACCAACACCTTTTTAAAACTTTCAGTTGTTGCTCCCTGCACTACACAATCCTTTATTTTCCTCTCCTTCCCTTTAATACTTATTTTAAGCACTGAATTTTTCAAAGGCTTGAGCTCTTCACTTTCCTCTTTCCCTTCTAATTCTACATTATTCACAGCTTTGTTTTCCCTTTCTTTATTTATCACTGTATCAAGTCTTTTCTCTATCACTTCTATTTTCTGACCTAACTTTTGCAAAAGCTGAAACATCTTAAGCACCTCTTCTCCCAGAATTTCTTGCACAGTTTTATCACTAACATGGAGGGCTGCACCACTACTCTCACTTGCTAC